GGGCTATGAGCGCACACTGCTGGCTCGTGTGCAGCTTCTCGTCCACCAGGACACCCACGTCCTTCTCTGCAGGGCTGCTCTCAAGTTCTTCTCTCTGTGCTCACATCTGGGATTGCCCCCAGCCCAAAGTACAGCACCTTGCTCTTGTTGAATCTCATTAGGTTCACTTGTGCCCACTTCTTGAGCCGTGTGGATGACCTCACTTCTGTTCTATCAGCTGCACCCTGATAGATATATAGCTGCACCCTGAGTGCACCCTCAGCTGCACTGAGCTGCAGCACTCAGCTCAGTGCTGAGGTGCACTCAATCCCACTGTCCATGTAAATGATAATGATGTTAAAGAGCACTGGTCCCAAGAGGAACCCCTGACAGCACTCATCACCTGGACACAGAGCTACTGAGCACAACTCCCTCACTGAGGACATCCAATCAACTCTTTATCCACCAAATAATTCAGCCTCCAAATCGCTCTCCAAGTTAGAGATAGGGATGCGGTGCAGGACCACGTCAAAGGCCTTGCACAGCTTCAGGTAGCTGACATCAGTCGCCCTTCCATTGTCCCCCAGTGCCGTCACTCCATCACAGCAGGCCACCAGGCAGGTCAGGCACCATCTGCCCTCGGCAAAGCCGTGCCGGCTGCCTGGGGTCACCTGGTCGTCACTCATGAGCCTCAGTGTGTCATCCAGGAGGATCTGCTCCACGACCTTCCCAGGCACACAGATCAGGCTTGCCGGCCTGGAGTTCCCCGGGTTCTCCTTCCTCCCTTTCTTATACACGGCAGCTACGTTTGCCTTTTTCCAGTCTCAGGGGACACCTCCTGACAGCCAGGACTGTTCAAACAGAATGGAGACATCCCATTCCTTCCGAACCCTGGGATGCAAGTCGTCGGGGCAGCAGAACAGGACTCGCAGCAGGCACGAGAGCCCAGCAGAGCCCATCACCACACAGCAAGGTGCTGGGAGGGCTGGGAGCCCAGGCAGAGGAGGGCCGGGGGCTCCGTGGGGCCATTTTGCTGCAGGCACAGTGCTGTCACAGCACCGTTCTGCTCCTCGCCCGGCGAGCAGCCGTGGGGCAGCCCAGAGAGGAGCGGGTGCTGCTGAGTAATTGTGAGTTACACTCCGAGTTCCCGGGTGGGCAAAGATTAATAACAGAGCCGTGTGCTGCTTCCAGGCTGTGTGATTAAACTCTTGATTAGAAGCTCAATCTACGGCGCTCTGCTAATTCCCCCGGGCTCACGTGCTGTTAATTATGTGGTTCATGTGGCAGTGAGGCCGGGGCTGTGGGGGCTGTGGGACTCAGCAGAGGTCCGTGAGCAGTCATGGCCCTCCCTGCACTCCATGCCTGAACTGCGGGCAGAGCGAAGGGCTTTGAGAGGCCTCATGCTGTTGAGAGGCCATCACCCCTCTCTTGCCACTTCTGGCAGTGAGCGATGCCCCTGGCCTGCAGCCAGAGAGATGGAGCCCGAGGGAAAGTGCCCGGCTCCAACAGGGTTGTGCTCTTCCTATTCCATCTCATTCCATCCCATCCATCTTTATCCTGGTTAATCCATCCCACCCTGTGCTGTCCTATTCTATTTTATCTTATCCTACCCCATCCCATCCATCCCATCCTGTCCAACCTCATCCATCCCATTCCATCTAACCCATGCCATTCCATCCTATTTCCTCCAAACTGTCCTATCAAATCCTGTCCTGATCCATCCTTTTCATTGCATCCCAGCCATACCACTCATCCCATCATGCCACCCCATCCACCCCATCCTACCTCATCCATCCAGTCCCATCCCATCCATCCTATCAGCCCCATTCCAATCATCCCAACCCATACTATCCACTCCATCACACCAGTGCCATCCTATCCATCCCGATCCATCCTATCTCCTCCGAACTGTCCTGTCCTGTCCCACCCAAACCATCCCATCCCATTCTGATCCATCCCACCCCATCCTGTCCCATCCCACCCACACCATCCCATCCCATCTGATCCCGTTGCACCCATTCCATCCAACCCATCTCAGCCCATTGTACCGCCTCTAACCTGTCCTATTCTGACCAGTCCTTTCACATTCCATCCTATCCATCCCATCCCAACCATCTCATCCACCTCATCCCTTCCACCCCATTCCAACCCATGTTATGTTCTATCCTGTTACGTCCCATCCCATCCCATCCCAATGTCACCGCACCCCGTGCCCGCTGCCCACGGCACTCCGGGAGCCGCCGCTGTCCCGTTGCTCCATCCCCGCAGGTGTCCCCGTGTCCCCCCACCCCGCGCGGTGTCACAGATGCCGGCGGTGATGCCACGCGCCCCATTCCCGTGGGTGGCGGCTCCCGCGCCAGGAGGAGGCGGGGCGCAAAGTTTGGGGTGCCGTCACGGGAGGGGGCGGGGGGACCCCACGGTCGGCGGGGGGCGGCCCCCCGCGGCCCCCCCCCCCCCCCCCCAATTGCCGCGCCAGGCGCGCGGGGCCGCGCCGCGACGGAGCGACGGCGGTGCTCGGCTCGGTTCGGCTCGGCTCCGCACCGCTCCGCACCGCCCGGCACCGCGCGGCTCCCCCCGAGCGGCGGCCCCGGGCCGCGCCCCCCGTTGCTGTCGGAGAGGCGAGAGGTGAGCGCGGCGGGACGGCCCCGGGGGGGATGCCGAACCGAGCCGGGCTGAGCCGTGCCGTCCCCAGGGCGCGGGGCCGCTGGGCCGGGCCGGGGGCGTCGCTGGGGTTCGCCACGTGTCGGCCCGGGGCTGCCCCTCCGTGTCCCTGCCTCGTCCCCCCATGCCGTGTCCGTGTGCGCCCCGACGGCTGCCCCGTGCCGCCCCCCGCTGCCGCCTTTCCCGACCCCGGCGGGCACCGAGCTGCCGTCCCGTCCCAACCCCGTTCCATCCCGTCCATCTCACTCATCCCATCGCATCCCGTGCCGCCTCGTCCCGTCCCGTCCCATCGCATCACACCACACCCCCGCCCCATTCCATCACTCTCCGACAAGATTTGCATTCCTCCCTGCGCGCTCCCCTCTGCGGCAGCCCCCAGCTCGCCCCTAGGCAGATGCCCCCTGGCTGGGGGGCACCGGGTTGTGGGAACCCCCCGGCCCCGGCTCTGTTCCAACCCCAGGAACTCCGTTTGGGTGCAGAGCTGTGGGCTCCCGTAGCCCCTCCGCTCCGCTGCCACCTGCACTGTGGACATTTGGGTACGCTTCCCTCTGGTCCAGCGCTCCCGTGGGGTGCGGGGTGCAGCGGGGACCTTCTGGCAGCACGGCCGGGGGCTGCAGGTGGGAGCGGGGCTGCAGGTGATGCTGGCTGTGCTGCAGCCGGGGGTCCCCGAGCCGTGAGGCAGAGCCGGGCTCCGGGGTGCTTGGGGGGGATGCTGGCGAGGGATGCACGGCTGCGTCATCCCGTCCGCACCCGGCCACCCACCTCCCGCTATTGTCTTACACCCGCTGTTGCTTCTGCTCCCAAATTAGCTGCTTCAGAAGGGGGGGGGGGCGGGAGGGCAGCTGTGTGCGGTTGCCAGCGCGGCACCCAGCCTCCCTACTGTGCCCAGCTCTCAGCCGGGTGCGCTCACCTGCAGGACATCCCGGGGATGCTGACCCCTGAGCCAGCCGGGGCAGGGGATGGTGCTCAGCGGCACCTGCTCAGCCAGCGGGAACTGCTGGGATGGACACAGGTCAGCCGAGCGCTCACAGAGGCAGCAGTCAGATCCCTATCTGTCATCCCATTGGGTCCCTGCATGGCTTATCCTGGCAGCACGCCGGCAGCTCTCATCCCAGCCCTCCCAGCCGGCCACTGGCTGCAAGGACAGCCCTAGTCCCCTCGCCTCGGGTCAGTGGCATGGCACAGCTGGCGTCGTATGGCACAGGGATGCTCGGAGCAGCCAGGCAGGGCACGTTCCCTGTTGGGATGAGCCCAGGGAAGGCAGGGAAGCTTCAGCAGGTCTATAGCTTGGGGGTAAGTTCTCCTGCACCGTGGGTGCTTTGCTTCTCTTTTGGGAGTGGGCGCACTCCGCGCGGGATGGGGCTGCCTGCTCTCGTCTGGCAAGGGCTGATGCCCTGGTGCTGCACAGCGAGGGGCTCCCATCCCGCAGGCAGGGCTGGATGGAGGCAGCGAGCACATGAAGGAGCATCCCCACGCCCCTGCCTCGCTGTCCTCACACCCCCCTGGGGGTCACCCGCCCCAGGGATCATCCCGGTGCCCGCACATGGTGCCACAGACAGGGCACCCATCCGGGGCCGGCGCGGTAGTGCCAGGGCTGCGCAGCACAGCAGGTCGGGTGCTGCCCGTCCCTGCCCCCGCCGCAGGATGTGCCGCTTTCTGCATCTTCAGCTCCCATTGCCATAGCAACAGGCTCAGAGCTTGGGTACCCGCCGCGCCGGCTCCTGCATCCCGCTCCGCCATCCTGCCACCGGGACCGGGCTGGCAGGTGCTGCCTGCACAGTGCGGTGCGGCACGGCGTGGCTTGTCATCCTGGGAGCTGGGGGTGATGGGTGCCTCCGGCGCCAGACCAGCATCCCGCTGGATGTCCCACTCAGGCTGAGCGGGGCCATGGAGCTCTTCTCTTCCTGGAGCATCAGAAAATAACATCCGTTAAAACTTCTTCTCAGAACAGGATGGGAAAAAGGAAAAAAAAATTACTTTCTGGGAACAGTTTTTTTTTGCCAGCAAGCTCCCAAGAAGGGTCTGGGGTTGGAGGGTTCCTGTCAGGAAGGCAGAGGGCTGTCACCGTCCCCAAAGGACAGGGTAACAGCACGCAGCTGGCAATGCTCGAGCTGAAGAAGTGTCACCACAGGGCAAAACGGGGCTGAGGAACAGGACCTGCTCCACTTGCCACACTGCCTGGTGAGCTGCTCCCAGCTCTGCCTCTGGAATAAATTCGTTACTGAGCTGCAAAGCAGGCTGGTGGGGCAGAGTGGCCAGAAGCCATGGGGATGGGCTGCACTCCATCAGGTTTTACGCTGCTCAGCAGGGACAGGTGCAGGCAGCGGGGCCAGGGCTCTCACGGCTCCTCTGCCTCTGCAGCACCGGGCCCTGCGATGCCGTTTGGCTGCGTGACACTGGGGGACAAGAAAGACTACAACCAACCGTCCGAGGTGACCGACAGATATGACCTGGGCCAGGTCATCAAAACGTGAGTGCGTCCCTGCCCGGCTCTGGGAGTGCCCACGGGGACCCCTACCCTGCACCAGTTGGGGAGCTCGGTGCCTTCAGGGCTGGGGTGCGTTCCCTGCAACGAGTGCTGATTCCAGGAGGGCTTTGCCGTCTGCTCTGAGCACAGAATTGCTGCCGGTGCCGAGGTTCGCTGCCGCTGCTGCTGCTCGCCGCAGCCTGGCGCCTGCGGTTAACCCTCCCTCTTCCCTCCCAAATATCTGCTGGGATTGCAGCAGTTCCTCAAAATCGCGCCTCCCGAAAGCAGGACCGTCTGCTCTGGCTGTGGCGGAGGAAGGGGCTCTGGGGAAGTTCTCTCACCTCCTGCCTTCCCGAATGCGGCGTTACAGTAGTGTGGAGGCATGCTGCTGTGCAGCTCAGTATTGATGGTTCTGCAGCATCCATCTGGCCGTGAGCTCTGTGCAGGGACAGGGGCCGTCCCGCAGGATGCTCCGGGAGCCCATGTGGCCCTGTTGTGGGGAAGGGGCTTTTTCTTTACCCCCCTCCCCCCCCTCCCCACTTTCCTAATGCTTTGCTTATCCCTTGCTGATTCCTTGCAGGGAGGAGTTCTGTGAAATCTTCCGGGCAAAGGAGAAGACATCGGGGAAGCTGTACACCTGCAAGAAGTTCTTGAAGCGGGACGGGCGTAAGGTGCGGAAGGCTGCCAAGAATGAGATCATCATCCTGAAAATGTGAGTGCCAAGGCCAGGGGGGGGAGAGGGGGATGGGTCTTCTTGGGTTGGTCCCAGCGAGTCAGTGGGCAGCTCGCATCCATCCACCCACTGCCACCACCATCCCGTGGGCGCTACAGGGTGAAGCACCCCAACATCCTGCAGCTGGTGGACGTCTACATCACGCGCAAGGAGTACTTCATCTTCCTGGAGCTGTAAGCATGGCGTGGGGCGGCGGGTGGGCGCTGTGCCGCGGGGCCACCGCAGCCTGCTCTCGGCACCGGCAGGGCCACGGGCCGGGAGGTTTTCGACTGGATCCTGGACCAGGGCTACTACTCAGAGAAGGACACCAGCAACGTCATCCGGCAGGTGCTGGAGGCTGTCGCATATCTGCACTCTCTCAAGATCGTTCACAGGAACCTCAAGGTGGGAGCTCAGGGTCCCTGGTGGGCACAGGCACCTATGGGTGCCGGTGCAGCCTCACCACGCTCACGTTCCCTGATCTGGCAGCTGGAGAACTTGGTGTACTACAACCGCCTGAAGAACTCCAAGATCGTCATCAGTGACTTCCACCTGGCCAAGCTGGAGAATGGTCTCATCAAGGAGCCCTGCGGCACCCCTGAGTACCTGGGTAAGGGCGAGCTGGGCGGGCACAGAGAGGGGGCAGGGGGGGCACAGACTGCCTGTCTCCAGGGTCAGTGTCGTGGCAGGTCCCTTGCCGGTGAACATTGGTGCTCCTGATGAGTTTCCATCACTCAGGGATCCATCCTGGGTGCTCCTGGCAGTTCTCTCCCATTCCCATCACCCTGCAGCTGATGCTGGCTGCACCCTGGGGGTCCCTTCTGCTCCTCATCACCCCAGGGACCAATCTGGAGTGCCCCCGTTGGGCCCCCGCTCTGCTGATGACTGCTCTCTGTGGGTTCCTGGGTGTCCCTGGTGGGTTATTCCCACTTCCCATCACACAGAGGAGCAATTGTGGATGCTCACAGCAGGTCCCTCCTGCTCTTCATCGCCCCAGGCACCCATCCTGATTCTTCCCAAAGGGTTCCTCCTGCTCCCCATCATCAGAAGTACCCATACTGGGTCCCTCCTGCCGCTCATGGGTGACCTGTTGGGGCACACCATGCACGGCCACCCTGGAGGAGCAGGGAGATGGGTTTCCCAGTGGGGGAAATGGTGTCTGGAGACCCCAGAGCGGGACTGGTCCCCCACTTCCACCATCCTGTGTTCTGTAGCTCCGGAGGTGGTGGGGCGGCAGCGGTACGGGCGGCCGGTGGACTGCTGGGCCATTGGTGTCATCATGTACATCCTGTGAGTGTGGGGTTGGAGACGGGGTTGGGGGGGCTCTGGGCTTGGGGGGAACACTGAGCACACACCCCGCAGCCTTTCGGGGAACCCCCCCTTCTACGAGGAGGCGGATGAAGATGACTACGAGAACCACGACAAGAATCTCTTCCGCAAAATCCTGGCCGGGGACTACGAGTTCGACCCCCCCTACTGGGATGACATCTCGCAGGCGGGTGAGCTGTAGTACTTGAGGGGGGGCAGGGGGGACACGGGGCCCCTGTGTGTCCTGCCTGCGCTGACCCTCCTGACCCCAGCCAAGGAGCTGGTGACACGGCTGATGGAGGTGGAGCAGGACCAGCGGATCACGGCGGAGGAGGCCATCTCCCACGAATGGTGAGGGGCTGCAGGAGCAGCGGGGGCCCAGGGAGGGCGGTAGGGGCCGCTCACCACCCCCTTACTGCCCCCAGGATCTCTGGCAACGCTGCCTCCGACAAGAACATTAAGGACGGCGTCTGCGCTCAGATCGAGAAGAACTTCGCCAGGGCCAAGTGGAAGGTGGGTGGGCGCAGCCCCGTGCCTCAGTCTCCCCCCGGGGGTCCTGACGCCCACTCGCCCTCGCAGAAAGCCGTGCGAGTGACCACGCTCATGAAGCGGCTGCGGGCACCCGAGCAGACGGAGTCGGCCCCTGCAACCACCGCCGCCACCACCGCCACCGCCACCGCCGCTACCACGGACGCCGCGGCCCCCCTGACCCCCGCCACGCCGCCCACCGCCAGCCCGGCCGCTGACACGTGTAACGGGGCCGGGGACGCCGCCGCCGCCGCCCTCGCCGAGGCCCCCAGCGAGCCGAGCGGCTGAGCGGCAGCCCTGTACATAGCCCGGCATGGCCCCCGCACCCCTCGCCTGCGCCCCACTTTTCTACGTGCCCCCAGAGGAGAGCGGGGCAGCGCCCTGCATGGAGCCCGTCCCCTCCCGGTCCCCGCCGCTCTCTCAGTCTGTCCCCCGCCGCCTCCCCCGTCCCCTCCCCCGGGGATGCTCAGAGATACCCGCGGACAAGCCCCGGGGACGCGCGCTCACGGGCCGGGCCCGAGGCGGGACGGAGGGGGGGGGTCGGTCCTTCCATCGCCCGCCTCCGACCTGCCGGCCCCCGGGGGAGGGGGGCGGAGCAGAGCGGGGATCCCCGAAGCGCCGCGCCCAGCCGGCCCCCCTCCGTCCCCGCTTCTCCCCCCCGCCCCGGGCCGCTGCATGCCGCGCCCCGCGGCCTCTATCTCTGGCAAATAAAGACCCGCCGAGGGCAAACTGAGAAAGCAGCAGCGCCGCCCGCCCGCCTCCGTGAGGGGTCGTCGCCCGGGAGGGCCGGGGTGGGCGAGGGCGAGGGCGGGGCGGGGCGGGCCGGGCTCGAGGACGCCGGGTCGAGGGCGGGCCGCTACACGGGCCGCGCGGGGCCGGGCTCGGCTCGCCGTGCCCTCGGAGCGTAGCCGGGCTCGGCCGTCGGGCGGACTCGCGGCGCCCCGCGGCAGGGGCGCGGCACGGCGGCCCGCGGGACCAGCCCCGCGGGGAGCGGGCCGAGCGCGGGCCCCGTGACGTCGCTTCCGGCCTGGACCGGAAGCGGCGGCCGGGCGGCCGGGTTTGAATCGCGCGGCTCCGCGCGGCCTGGCGCTGCCGGTCCCGCCATGCCGATCCGCGCGCACTGCACCATTTGCTCCGACTTCTTCGACAACGCGCGCGACGTGGCCGCCGTGCCGTGCGGGCACACGTTCCATCGGGCATGGTGAGCGGCGGGCGGGCGAGGGGAGCCGCCTCTTCCTCAGGCCGCGGTGCCGAGCCGGGGCGCGGCCTCCCCCTCGGCTGCGGCTCGGCCCGCGGGCGGTGTCGGTCTGAGCGGCCGTTTCCCTCTCCCTCCGCAGCCTGTTCCAGTGGTTCGACACGGCGCCCAGCCGCACCTGCCCGCAGTGCAGGATCCAGGTACCGCCCTCGCTGTCGGCGCCGCGTTTCTATGGCACCGCGCGCTGCTGGAGCCTCCGGCCTGGAGCCCCGGGCCTGGGGAATGAGGGGAGGGCGGATGGAGGCGAGCGCGCCCTGCTGATATCTGTGCCGGAGCCTTCGCTGCTTGGTGTAACGCTGGGGAGGGCAGGAAGGAAACCCCGGGCCCTCAGAGCGGCGTTTCTGGGGATGCTGTCAGGCAGACAAACTGCTGCCGTGGTTCTTAGCACCGAGTCCTGGCTCTCGTTGAGGATGTGCTGTGCTGGCAAGGGAGGAGCTGCGCTTCTCTGGAGGCTGCTGTGTTATCGGCCTCGCAGGGCTTGGTGCGTGCAGCTGAAGGAGGGGTCTGGTGCAGGCTTCCAGCTTGCTGTTGCTGGGACTTGCTCTGTGCTCGTGCTTTTTTTCCTCTCAAGGTCTCGGCCCTTGTTCTTTCCCTGACTTGTTGATTCCCTCTGTTCTTCGCTGCCGCTTACATCTCTGGGTTACCATGGAGTTATCGCGAAATAACATCTTATGTAGCAGTAACTATGCAATTAGCTGGTGTCATGACTGTATATAATACTTAAAACACAAAGCTGTAACTGCATGGGGGAGGTGTGGAGAGCTATCAAATTCAATTACAGCACCTTCTGCCTGCAGAAAGCAGCACGTACTTCTGTCTTTGGATTTGGCATCATGTTAGCTCAGCGTCAGCTGCTTGGGCCTTAGCTGCCAGAGAACAGACTGCGCTCGATTCAGAAGTGCCTGAATCTTTCTGCTGCAGCTCGGGAGCTTGGCTGGAGTCGTGCTCCCAAAACTGAGTGGGGGGCCTGCAGTTGTGCTGCTGAGCAGAAGCAGGATATTGCCAGGGATGGCGTTGCACGTGGACTGACGTGCCTCCTGCGGCCTTGTGGCAAGGTGCCACCTTCTTCCCCTGCGTGCGTCTTCTATATGTACTGCTTCTTCCTGTGTGTGCCAGTCAACCTCTCCCCTCTCTGCTTCTAGGTCAGCAAAAGACACATAATCAATAAGCTGTTCTTTGATGTTGCCCTGGAGGAGCAGACAGCACTGGATGCAGAGACCTTGCAGGTATTTGATGGGGTTCTTCTATCCTGTGGTGCTCTGAGCAACTTAGAAACATGTCTGGGAATGCTGGTTCTTTGCCACCAGCTGTTTCCCGAGCTGCTGCTTGCTGTGCTATGCTCACATTTCAGACCCAAAGCGCTTCATTGTCTCCTGCCTGTCCACATTTTCTGTTATGGTCCAGTCTAAGCTCTGCCATGAGGCGGTCTCTCATGTGCTGGTTTAGTCCAACCAAATCTCAGATAGTGACTCAAGAGGCCTCCTCTTCTGCTTTATTGTTCTTTCTTAGTTTGGAAGCCTCCTGAAGCAGAATCAAGTAAGTATCCAACTGCTTCTTCTCCACTGGGTCTCAAAGCTCCTCTCAGTGGTTGTGTGAGAATGTGACTGCAGAGATTTTGCCAAAATGCACGTGAGAAAAAGTGCTGAATTCAGTGATCTGCTGCAGGTATCTGTGGCCTGACAGGTGGGTTTATTTGCATGGGCTCATAAGGAAGTGGGACAGCAATGGTGACTTGGTTTTCCTAGAGACATTAGGAAGTGGAACCGTCAGAAGCTGCACCCTCAGGAGCATGCAGTGCTGCTGCTGGGTCCCCATGGGAATTCCAGGCTGGAGTAGAAGAGCTGAGTGATGTTCTCCAAGAGCCAAACTCTGCTGTGGAGAGCTGTGTGTGAGGAGGGATTAAGGCACAGGGGCTGTTCTGTGCTCTACTCTGTTGCTTAGTATGGATGATGCATGGCTCCTTATGTGTGGAGTTATCTGTTCCAAAAAAAGTCATCAGTTGACCTCGGTATAATGGGATGCTTGTATCCTCTTGTGTTTAGAATCAGCATGTGCAGCAATTACCATAATTAGCATCGTCATGGCAACTGCTATATGTATACTGTATGTTTTTAAAATAAAGCAAGCCAGACTGTGATGTCAGTAGCACTGTCGTTCTCAAAGACCACCAATAAACTGGAGACCAGATCTGCGTGCGGAGGAAATGAAAAAGCATCTCTGGGCACTGGAAGCTGTGCGCCTCAGATGCAAAGCAGTGGCTTGAAGGAGGTAAACATTGCCTTTAGGATGCATTCAGATCGGGTCTCATAAGTGTAAACAGATGAGTGACTCAGTGATGGGCTGTATGGTGAAAAATGCCCTAGAAAAGCTGTTTTTTCCTTCCTCTTATCCACTCCCCAGGGTCAAAGATGGGCTCCCTCAGCTTTTCCCTCCTTGTAGACTGTGCTGAAGGCCTGGCTCTCTTCCTCTCACAAGAGACTGTAGACCTGCATGGCAGCAAGTCAGCTCCTACAAAGTTTATTTTGTTGCCATTAGAGCAGTGTTGTCTAGACTTCAGCACAGGTATTTTAATGAGGGAGCTGCAGTCACTGTGTAATAGGGAAGAACCAAATATTTTCTGTGTAGAGGAGCACGGTTGGCTGATAGCGTGCTACTGCCCCATGGACAGCTCTGAGGGTTGCTCTAATCAGTCAGCTGTGTAATCAGCTGGAGCTGTGCAGCCTGCAGATGCCTTGAAATGAGAGCCTGGCCTCTGGAGAGGCCAAGAGGCGAGAGGGTGTGCTTCCAGGTGCTAGAAAGCTGAGGGTGAAGCTGTGTCATCCCAGAGAGACAAACCTGTTATGCTAGAAGTGCTTGGAAGAATTGCCTCGTGGCATTCTGATGCAGAATTACCCAAATTACCTTCTGAGTGATCAGCCTTTGCTGATCCCCACTCATTTTTGCTCCGAAATACTTGGGGTTGAATGAGAGCTGAAGCTGCTCTGCTTCTGGCTGACTGGCAGGCGTGGGTTTCAGCTAACGCTGCGAAGGTATCCTGGTTCCCTGGAGTCGATGCAGACCACAGGTTGAGCGCTGCAGCATATCTCAGCTTTTTAGTGCTCAGCCTGTTTGTTGGTTGGTTGTTTCTTTTTTTTCCTGTACTGCTTTTAAAGATGGTTCTCAGCGATCAGAACAGTCTCCATGTTTCTGCTGTGGGAGTAGAAATGTGAGTTTTGGGGAGAGACGCAGCCCCGGGGCTTGCTGGAGCCCGGCATCCTGCTTGTTTGTATCTAGGGAGCTGAGAGCCCATCTTATGGAGGAGATTGGGGTACTTTGCTCAGCTTGGTAAAAGGGAGGCAGGAGGGGAGGGTTCCTGCCTATAAACCTGCCAGGGAGGGTAGAAACCTGGGAGGACAGCTGACGGCTTGTGGTTGCAATATCTTGTGGCAGCATTCTCTTGTAATCAGGCTGGCAGAGAGACAAAGGAACTTGCATCTATCAGAGTGAAAACTGGGAGAAGCCTTTAGGAACAGTGGTGGAAGATGAGGGATTTCAGATTAAGTTGATGAATGAGGTAATGTTACATAGCTGCCTGCGGTAGCCCAGGATTTCTTTTGCTATCATGGTAATTAGCACATCTTGTGAGCTCACTAATCGTTCCTGAATAGGACTCAGAGGAGGCTGCATCAGAATAGTTCCTGCAGCAGAGCTATTTCTACCTCAGCCCTCTGTTGTCCCCCTGGGGGCAAATCTAAGTCAGCTCTGCTAGGCTTTACCCTCTGTCCCTTCTGCTTACCCAGCTTCAGATCCCATGCTCTCCTTCCCTCATTTGCTGTCACGAGCAGAGCTTTGCTTTGGTCCTGTCAGCTCTGTGGTCACTGCTACAGCTATTCTCAGCTCAGATTTGCATGTAGCATTCCAGGCTGCACAGATTTGTGTGCTCGGCTTCAGTACTGTGTTGGCATTTTATTGTGGTTTTATTCCACTGCAGTTCCTGCCTGGCTTGTTATGTGCTTTCCTCTGCAGCTCTAACAGCTTTTTAAGTCATCTTCTGTTGACTCTTCCCTGTATTTTTTCTTTCCTCCCTCTATCTGTAACGTGGTGTGAGTTATAAATATGTATATAAATATATCTATTGCCTATCTTTATGAACTCCATCCATCCTTTGGCTGTTTTCCAGCGTTCGTAGGTTATATCACTTCATCCATAATTTAAACCACGGTTATTTGCTCCCTCTCTCCAGTCCTTAATTAAGATGTTAGAAATGCCTGACCTCCCCCAGGCCTTTGGGGTGCCCAGGGGACGTTAGGTCCCCACTGTTCAGTACAGATGGGTTCACTGGTGATCTGTTTATGGCCATTTGGCTCAGCTGTTGGTTGATATCAGCATCTCACACTGCAGTGACTTAGTGTCCTCAGAATGCTGGCGATGCCTTTTGATCTGAACGCTTTGCCACCTTTTCAGATGTTTGGATGTGCTTTTGTGCCCCCCACCTGCACGTGGCTCAAGTTCACGTCAGTTCAAAGCGGCTCTTGATCCAGATAGTCTGGCATCATCCCTGTTTTATTGCCCTGTTTAGGTAAAACATTGCAAAAATTCTTCCTGTCTGATTTCCTGAATTTCCCTGAGAGCCTTCCAAAATTATTCAGCTAAAACGAGATGACTGACAGTGTGAGAAACGCAAGGTTGACAAGGCTAAGACAAAACTGGGATCGTCTCTTCCCTCCCCGCAGAATGCCAGTTGGAGGTGCTCTTTGTGTTCCCTGCGATGGTACTTGTTTGTAGCTTGGTGCTTGCTGCTAATGCCTGCTATTCTTAGCACATGGCTGGTGCAAATGTCCCGCCGAGAAACCTCTCGGCTCCTTTGAAGATATGGTGAAAGCTTCTCTGCAGGCTGTTTCCTAATAGGGTTTTCTGTGTTGCGTTTCAGAATGAACTGGACAAGGTGAAGGCTCAGCTCTCCATGAAAGGTGAGTTCCAGCTGCCAGCAGGCCCTGGGCCCTGCCTGCCTGCCTGAGCTGCTTGTCCAGGTCGGAGGGCTGAGTGTGCAGAGCATCCTCTCACTGAAGCTGAGGCCATGGTGCAGGCTGTGAGCTGCTCTGCTGGAGGAGCTTCTTAGAGCTGCGTCTTTGAGGAGAGACTGCCCAAAGCTGTGTATAACCTGTATAACAGAGCCAGAGTTCACAAGTCAGCCCAGCTCAGCTCTAACTGGGGTCTCCTTTGCCAGTTTAGGCAAATATGGTTTTTCTTTTTGTTTTGTTTTTGTTTTTTTCTCCTCTCCATGATTAAGAGCTGTGAGAGTCCAGCACAGCTCTGTCTGGAGTAAGCTTGCCAAAATCAAAACCTGTGGTCTGAGCACCAGGAAGCTCACAGCTGCACATGCCAAAGGCTTCTTCCTTCTACAGTGGTGCTCAAGCTGCAGTGGGAAGGTGTTGGCTTTTGTTTGGCTGTTGCAGTGCCACGTGTGTCAGTTGAAGAGCAGACGGAGCTTGCTGTGTGCACTTCCATTTTTCCCATCTTTAATTTTAGAGGATGTTTGAGGGAGGCAGGAAAAGCAAAAGCCCTGGAGACTTGTCGATGGTTTTCGAGCATCGTCTGTAGGCAGCCTGTCATCAGGACATGAGTCATGAGCAGAAAGGAAAATGTCAGTCTGAGTGACAGAAATCCAAAGTCACACTAGCAGAAAGGAAAAATCTTTGAAGAATGCCAGGGGCTCACCCACGCCCTGAGAGTCGTCTTTACTCTGCCTTCCCTGCACGAGACAGACTCAGCTAGCCAGGAGGTTGAGGATTCGGTCCTTAGCCTGAGAGCAGCATTGCACAGCCTGCACGTCTCTATTCTGAGGCTCGTTCTCTTGCCAGCTCGGTTGAGTTTAGTGACTTGGTAGAGAGCCAGATCTTCTGGGGAAGGTGGCTGGGATTATTGCTAGGATGTTATCCAAGAAAAACTGCTTGAAGGCCTGCTCATCTTCTCAGCTTCTGGTGAGTAGAGGTTGGATGTGACATTCCCTGTCCCGTCCTCTTTTCATATTGGAAAGAAGCAGTTCCCAGCTCCTGCCTCCTTTGCTATGGGCACTCTGCTCTCTGGTGGTTCTTGTGTATAAATTCTCCTCTTAAAGATGTGCTCTGTGCTCTGTGCTGTAGTAGAGCTGTGTAATTGCCAGTCCCTGATCAGCTTGCAAATGGCTCCTGAGGTGCAGAGCTCTGTACAGACCCAGCAGGCGCAGTGGGAGGCACTTGGAACGAGCTGAGAACTCATTCCTGCAGCATGGGGAGATTTGACTCCTGCCATCTGCCTCTGGGCAGCTGGGATCGGAGGAAGGGAAAGCCCAGGCTCCTTTGGTTCATGTGAAGTCCTTGCAAGTGCAGGGGGGCAGCTCCAAGCTGTGCTGCCTCTGGCGAGGAAGGGTTATTCAGACCAACAGAGAAAAAAGGCTTTACTAAGAAATGTGTTTCCTTCAACACCTCCCCAGCCTCCTGTGTGTTTCTGCTGGGATATGTTCTTCCTGAGCTTCTTCAGTCCCATGTGGCTCCCTTACTTTTGTCCAGCAGTGCCATACTTCTGTGGGATGTGTTGGCACAACCTGACGCTGGATTGCTTGGAAGGAGGAATGGCCCTTTTGGAGGGGTGCTGAGTGACTTCCTGCTGTTGTCAGACTGGAGCCACAGGCAATTTTGACAAAGGCAGAAGGAGCTCAAGACTTCACCCTGCTCTCACCAGAGCTGCACTGAGGGCTTACTTTTCTTCGTTGCCCAGTAGCTGAACTGGCTGTTCCCTGCTTAGCTCTGACAGCTGCTGCTGATGGTTGTTCCTTTGTGAGCTGTTCTTCACTTGTCTCGCCAAAACAAATGGAAATCTGGCGCTGTTTTCACAGTCTTCTCCCTGGTGGTCGAAGCTGTGTGCCTCGTGCTGGGTGGCCTGCACGAGGAGGTGGGTGCATCACACTGGTGGTGCCCTGGGGTAGGTGCAGTAGCGCAGTGATGCAGTGCTGCTGTCCCTGTTGAGCAGGCTGGCTGTTTGCAGCCCCCAAAGGGCTGCCCCGCACGCCAGGCTCTGCATGGGGAGGATGAGCTGAGGGCTCAGCTCTCCAGCTCAGTGTGACTCCAGAGAGCAGTTCTGCACACGCCTGGCTTGGAGAGCATGCAGGAGTTAAGATACATCAGCTTAATGCTAGCAGGACTGGCGCTGGAAAGCTATTAAAGGGAACATGTTATCTTTACTGAAGCCTGCTGGCACTGGGAGAAGCAATTGCTTGCTACAAGCCCAGTTGCAGACAGCATTTAGGGAAATGGGTCTCTACAGGACTGGCCGACTCCTAGCAGCATGGAGACCGAGAGTGCAATCAGCTCCGGTTTGTTGTGCGACTGCTGTTGTATGTGGGGCTGCTGAGGTCTGGGTTTCCAGGCCGTGGTTTTCTTTTTCTTTCTAGAGAAAGAAAAGCGGGAATGCCAGGCCATCGTGGATGGGCTGCGGGACACCTTGGATGTGCGCAACGCCACCATCGAGTCGCTCCAGAAGGTGCTGGGAGAAACAGAGATGCTGTGTTCCTCTCTCAAGGTACCTTTCCCATCCCTTGCTGGATTTTGGCTCTACCCATTGCACGATCGATGTTAATTTTGTTCAGGTTGCCTTCAGGCCATGCTGATATTGACACTGCTCTGTGCTGGTGGGAGTTTGGGGTGGGTGCCTCGAGACGCCTGCCACTTCAGTCTCTGAGTAACAGGAAGGCTGCGGAGCTGGGTTTTCTTTTTGGGTTTATTAACCCAAAGTGAGCAGCGACGCCAGTCTGGAGGTACTGGCTGCGTGCCATGCTGAGGGTGATTCAGAGCCATAAAACCCAGGCCTGTGGCTGTGTGTAACGGCTGTGCGCTCAGGGCAGGGGTGGCCGGGGCTGGGGGACCACCAGCCCAGCCTGGGGGTGTTAGCTGAGCTTTGCTGCTGCAGTGCTGATCGTGAAGGTAGTGGTGTGAGGGGAGTGTGGGAACTGGCCCCCGCGCCCCGCTGCAGAAGCACCGGCTCCCTGCGGTAGAATGTTCTCCTGAAATGGGTTTTGGCCAGACGGGATTCAAGGAAAATTAGTTTCTTGGTTTGATCAGAGGAGAAATCAAACTGATATATATGGAGGGGGAGTTGCAAGCTTTAGCTGAGTGGGATTTGATCCAGCTAACTCTCCTGTCCTGTTGCCAGGGCTTTCCTTCGATTAGGTTAGTAATGTGCAAAGTCCAGGGATCAAATATTCCTGTTGTGCTTCTGCGTGCAGTGACTCAGTGCATAGTCATGCATTGTGCATAAACAGCAAGTGGAAGGGGGTAAGAACAAGAGACTCTTGGCTGGGATGTCTTGTGGTGAGCAGTGCAGCCTTGACTTGGTGCTTGGCTGCCTGTACTGTGTGCTGAAAGCTCACTGCGAGCACAGGGAGTTCAGACAGTTCCTTAAATCTCTGCCCCTTAGTAGGGAGTAGGGTAGAGAGAGCCTACACTGTATCACACTCCTTGACCTGCCAGGCCATGCAGCCAGGGAGAGCTTGTAGGTAGGGCATGGAGCTGTCTTACTGTATACCACGTACAGGGCTGGGCTCCTCCTGGAGGAACCACATGAAGGTTGCCTGACATGAGCTGTCACAGGGCAGGAGATAAAAGTATTGTGGTGGTAAAAGTCACCACCACATGGGCCTTGCTGTGGGACAGCACAAGCTCTTTTTTGCCTGCCCATCAGGTTAGATCCAATCTTCTCGGGTCTAAAGGCAGCCTGGCATTCCCAAGCTGTTCCTGGGATCTCAGATGTACTGGTGGCAGGATAGCATTGATGCTTCCTACTTCAGAAAGGCAGGTGTGGCAGTGGAAGTTGGTGCCTGCTTCTCAGCTCAAGATCTCTATGCTTGACATTCCTAGCTGGCATCTCAGGAAGAGACTTTGCTTATCTTGTCTGTTGCAAAAGCCTGAGTATGCTGGAGTCCTGTTAATGAAAGTCGAGAAGGGCAGGAGTAGAGACCTGAGGGTACCTTTTCTGTGGTGTTCAGTGTTTCCCAGCTGAATGCCAAGCAATGTCTCACATGCGTCATTTAAAGATTAAAGCGCTGAACTTCTGCAGTAAAAACAGAGGCTTAACTAGCTGTGAGGCAGGTCGAGCTCACAGGCAGTGAGCAGGTCCCATCTCCTGCCAGCTGCTGCTGAACCTCCATGTAAAAGTCTGCTACTGGGCCCTGCTCTGACCTGGCCCAGGGGTCAGGAATGTGGAGATCTCTGGTCAGCAGCAGCCTAAGGTGGGCTCTGCAGTCAGAAAAGCAAGATGTGAGCCTGCAGCTCTGCAGAGTCCCAATGCTGTCACAGCTGTTTGGCTTCTGTGTTTTCTTAGCTCAGCTGAGGTTTGCTGCTAATGCTGCCTGCTACTGGAGAGCCTGGAAAGGTGCTGGCTGTGAGAGACTCGTGGCCACCCCAGGTGGGTGAGAGAAGCACCTAGCTAAGCATCTGGTTCAGCTGAGATCTGCGGGAGAGACCCATGCAGCATTCCTATTTCTGCTTTAAGCAGCTAAGAGCAAGGAAAATTGGAAGGCTAAAGCAAAGGGCTCAGCTATTTAGGGAGCAGAACGCACTGGTGAGGTTTGCCTGCTTTGAACTCCCTCACTTTTGAAAAACATGGTTGCTGTATTGTGCACAGGATGCTGCCCAGCCCCACAAACACACCCAGCAGAAAGGGGGATCCAAAGCAGTTCCAGCACCACGCTCCTCTTGCGATTAGCACTCAGACCCTGCTGTGCTAGCAAGGAGCAGAGCTGGGGGTTCAGCAGGGAAGGAGCTAAATTCTCCGTAATCCTGGGCTGCTGAGGTGGTGATAGCATTAAGAGCCAATGTATGCTCCCAGCTGCCCGCAGTGCGCATAAGCCAGGATGTTTTGCTAACAATCCCTGGAGCCTTCCTGACGGTCTGTGTGTGCTTGCTTCTCTGCAGAAACAGATGAAATTCCTGGAGCAGCAGCAGGAGGATAACAGAAGTTCAAAGGAAGAGGCCCGCCGCCTGCGAAACAAGCTGAAAGCCATGGAGCGGTGAGATCCTGGGCCTCGCAGACTGGGCTGCATGTCTCTCCCGTTCTCCAAGAGGAAGGGAGAGGTCCTGCTGTTCTTGCTGCACCTCCCAGCCCCACATGCTGGGACTGCTGGGCCTCCTTACCCCGTAAGACTGGAAACTGCTGCATTAGCAGGCTTTGCCTGGCTGTGTTCTCAGCCCAGCTTTCTTTCCAGGCAACTGCTCTCCCTGAACAGCAGCAGGACATGATACTCTGTGCAGACTGTCCTTGTCTCCAGGCCTCCAAGCATAGCTATATGCTGTTGCTATTAGTGGAGAGGGTTCTGGGGCAAAGCTCAAATCCCAGCCTGGGAATGAAGTCAGCTGCATGGGTATAGGGCCTACAAGTTGATGTGTCAGTTCCAAGGGTAGCGTGTGTGTACAGCTGTCTCTTCTCTAGTCCATGTAGTGCTACTCTGTCCTGGCAAAGATACCCTCCTTGTAGAGTGGTTGCATCTCTTTGCCACCCCTACATCCAGGAGCTTAGCCTGTGTGGGCTCCCCACGGGAAGCAGGGCTGCAGCCTTCGTCCCTGCTCTGTTCATGACTCATGAGCTGAAGGTACATTTCCTTATTTTATTGCAGGATTGAATTGTTGCTTCAGAGCCAGCGCCCCGAAGTGGAGGAGATGATCAGAGAGATGGGAGTTGGGCAGGCAGCAGTGGAGCAGCTTGCAGTCTATTGCGTCTCACTGAAGAAGTGAGTGCTTCAGGCTCAGCATGGGCTGCTTATGCTGGCCTGGGCTTGTGGGAAGAGAACGTGTTGCTGAGTCCCAACAGACACACAGACACTGCGGGGCTCTCGTCCCTGTTTGGGCCTCCTTTAGGTTTTGGCTGACAGAGCCTGGGGACCTAGATTGGAGCCTGTCACACTGAACCGTTCCTGTTGTCACTGCAGTGACACGCGTGTCACCATGGGAACTGTCTCCAGAGCTGTCAGTGCACCTATGCAGTGATTATCATTCCCTCAGTTCTCTTTTCACGCCTGGGGGGAAATGGGAGGATGAGGAGCTCTGGGCTGCACCCTCTGCTGCGTTGCACAGTGCAGCTGTGGCCTGAAGTGCTCTGAGCACGCCACGCTCTGGCATGCGGGATCTGCAGCGCTGCCATCCCCTACCTGGAAACGCTTCTGGTCCTGCTGAGCACAACCACAGCTTCTCTGGGTCCGTTCTGATGGCAGCTGAATAACGGCAGCTTTGATACAAAGCTGTAATGAGGCAAGTGTCCCTGTGGTGTAATTGGGAACAATGTGCTTGGCCAATGGTATGAAGCCTCTGTAAAGTCATTTAAAGCAGAGTTCTCTATTTGCTGCAAGTACAGAGGCTGCTCTGTTTTTTGTCTCTCTCTTCTGCTGGCAACTGTAATATTTCTGAATCCAGTTTCCATTTCGTTGGTGAATCCTGTGCATGCCCTGCTCCTAGGCATGGCATCCTCTGCAAATGTTTTTCCCTGCCATGTGTGATGATGTTTGTTACACCGTTGGTTCATTTTGGTACGCTCAGCTCAGTTCCCTTAAGGATTTTGTATGTCCTGGGTTTTCTTCGGTGGTTCTGCAGTTGCACATCTTCGAATTGAGGGCCTCTAGTAAGTTCTAGCTCAATGCTCTTCAAAGGCAGCATGATTCTTCTCTCTTTTCAGGGAATATGAGAACTTGAAGGAGGCTCAGAAGATCTCTAGTGAGATGACAGAGAAGCAGAAGAAGGAGCTATTCTCTGTCAACAGTAAGGTAAAAGGAGAACATGAGAGATGTAAAGGTGATACCTGGTCAGCAACTGTGCTCCTAGCCCTGTGCAGTGACCCCCTCCCACAGTGAGCTCTCCTTAAGCAGTACAGCTGACATGGAAGTGTCAGGCAGGGTTTCTGGGTCAGAGTATGATGCTGTGTGTAGCTCATGGGCTGTTATTAGCACTGTGGACTCTGAGGATGTCATTGGGGTAGGATGTGCAGAGCCAGCCTGGGCTGGAGCACAGCAGCACGCAGGTGGTGCTCCAGAAGCAGTGCTGCCTTTGTCCTGCCAGGCATGAGCATGAGCTTGTTCAACCACCAGCCCCTTATGCTGCAGTCAGGGCCCTGGGAGGAAATGAGGTGTGAGCCAGCACCAGCTGAGCAGGGCTTAGCCCTGTCTTGGCACTGAGCTGCAGGTATGCCCCTGCTGCTGTGCTGCCCCTGCCCCAGCCTGGCTGGGCCCTGTTGGCCCAGGCTGGGAATTACTGTTTCAGTAGCAAGTTGCCGTGATAAATGCCTGCATTGCTCTCCAAGGAGCAGGTGTTCCCTGGGGTGTGCCAGAGTCCAGGCTCAGAAAGTGAGAGACTGTGGGTGGATTTGGCCTATTTTTGTTACCTAGCCATAGCTGTTATGGTCCCCTCAAACAGAGGAGGAGGTTCTTGGAATACCGAGCTGCTCCTAAGTGAGTTAACTCCCTACAAGAAGTGTTGCTGCTGGAGCTGACCTGTTTGTGGCCGAGTCTGTGCCAAACTACAGTCACTAACTTGGGTCAGGAGGATGCGAGTCAGCGCGCTCGGCTTTGGCTGACAGAGAGCTGACTGTGCTGCCACTCTGTGGGCTGGCCCAGCACCTGACCCCGCTTCAAGCCCCTGTTGTGGTGCCAGGCCACCTCTCAACCTCCGGCTCCTGGCACACTCTCGTGCTGAATCAGGCTTGTCAGTGTGCCAGCACTGCTGATGCACAGCCGGCGTCCGGCCTGTGGTTTGTGATGCTGTGATGTGGTGTGTGCTAAGGCCTGCAGGAATTCGGGACGGAGCCACCAAGTGTTAGAACGTGGAAAAGCTGGTACTGTCGGGCAGAGATGCTGTGGGAAGACTTAAGCTGGGCAGACAGCCCTGGAGATCCCTCTGCAGGCAGCTTGAGGAAATGAGCAGCAATCGGATTGCTCTGATTTGCAGACTGCCATGGGAAAATTGAGCCCGAAAACAGGAAAATAGTGTGTGCCATGGAGCACATGGTTCCCGTGGGGATTCATAGTCTCCCTTACCTGTGTGTTGTAATCGGCACTCTGCTCTTTGGTGTTATTTATTCTGCAGCTGCAGAAAACAGTTTCAGAGTTGGAGAAGACAAAGGAGGAGTTAAAGAGCACCCAGAAGGATTTGAAGAATGCAGACAAGGAGATCTTGGTGAGAATATCACTCCTCAGCCTGCAGTAACTGGCAGCTGGCCACAACCTTCAGCAGCAATGCCAGGAGCTGTGCTGGGTTTTGCTTGGATCTGCCCACCTTACTGCTTTCATCTGCCCCACCTCTGAGCTCTGGCCAATGCTCAGTTATGGGAGAGGGGTGAAGGACCGGCTGCTAAATCTTTTCTTGTCTCACTGCCTTTCCTCTTCCCTCTAGAGTCTGAAGAAGAAGATAGACATACTGCAGGACACTCTGAAAGTGCCATCTGTAACTAGAGAGACGCTCAGCCGGCTGGTCTTTGAGAGGTCAGTGCGGTGCATCCTCGGATACAGGCCAAATATAGCAAATAGCATGTCAGAGTGAGGGCACCAGCAGTTTAACTAAGTACTGACTGGGAAGGCAGGAGCATGCTGGTCTGGAAGGCGTTGCCATAGCACAGTCATCTTTCTTCTTGTATTTTTTGTTTTCTTGCTGCTGACACGACAATGTTTGGATTACTGAAAAAGTGTGTATTTTGGTGGGTTTGCATCAGGTTGGTATGGAAGAAAGAAGGAAGTTTGGACAAACTTCTTCCACTCTGCCCCGCCAGGGAAATATCCCTAGAGCTTCTCTTCTGGTTGCCTCAGGGTTGGCCTTCCAGCAAGTATGCCCTGATATACAGGGGCTGGAGATCTTCGCCAAGCTGAGGAGTTCAGAATGATTAAGGCTTGGTCTGGCATCCTTTATATTTTAGTGAGCCTCTTTCTGGCAACCTGTGCTATGAGCCCAGTACAGCAAACTGCGTTGTGTGTGCTGAGCAGAAGTGTGCTGGGCTGTTTGCCTGGGCTTGGACTGCTGCTGTGAGCAGTGGTGTTTGAAGGTGGAACAGTGGTTTGAGACATTGACTATGGACTGTGGGGTTTGGGTTGTTCTTTCTGGAACTTGTAAACAGAATGGGGTTCAGACCTTAATCTTACTTCTGTCATGATAACTAAATGATGTAGCTTGTAGCTCCCCCTCCTCTTCTGTCTGATGGGTGGCAACTTCTTGATGGCTGATGCTTTGCATGGCCTTGCAGCCCAACTCCTGTTGAACTGCAGCACCCGAGGCTCCGCCGTCCAGCTCACAGTGATGAGATCAACCTAGATGACGCTTTTGATGTGGACACCCCTGAAAATCAGCCCTGCAGATCTCCATTCAGTGCTGCAAAAAAGCAGAAGCTGGATAAAAAGCAGTGAGTTTGTCCTCTTCTTTCTAAAGGAGATGAAAGTCTCTGTGCTTTGGAAGCTGCTGTGTGAGATCAGATGCTCTCCAGCTGCCTGATGTCGCACTGCAAGCTTTTTCGTCATTTGCTTTGCCTTGTCTGTCCTTGCCAGCTCCAGTCAAACAATGAATCTCTGCTGACTCGCTCCTTGTGCTTCTTACAGGCCTCCCGTGGTAAATCTGGCAAAGAAAGCTCTAAAGGAGACAGTGGAGGTAAAAGGACTGATCTTGTTTGCTGTATCACCTCTTCAATTCTGCTATTAATAAGCTTGAGATAAAGGCCCCATTTTCCTGTTCAGGAGGTGCTCTGGCTGGAGGTTGGCCTATCTGCTGCACCACAGTACATATTTCAAAGCACTCTGCTTGACTGTCTCCTAGAGACGCCGTTGCTGCCTCAGAGGCCTCCTGGAATCGGGCAGGAGAGGGCGGGGGGGCACGTGCTGCTTGCAGATTCTCCTGCATCAGATGTGCTTGGCAAACACACTGTGGGCTCTGCCTGCGAGGGCTGTGGGTCAGCTGTCCCCTAGGCATGCTGGATGCAATGTCCTGCCTCCCAGGCATGGCTCCAAACGAGCCCCAGGGGGAGGCTTGGAGGTACTGTTCTTTGACCTGATGTGCTACAGGACTGCCTGTTACCTTAAGCAAGTGCCCGCATACAGACTGCATTCAGCAGGTGATGCTGCTTAAAGAGCTTTTCTCATTATTCTGTGGGACAGAACTGGGGAGATGATCTGGAGGACGAGACTCTGAAAGGATTCCTGCCAGCATTCATCAGAAACTCAGTTTTCTCCAAGAAGCCCATGTCAGGTAGCTTGCTGCGGCCCCACACAAACATGGGCAAGGTGAGTAGTGCTGTTGGTGAGCTTGGCTGGCACTGCACTCTTCTGTCCCGAGGTTACCCTACAGGAGGAAGCCAATGAGGCTTTTACCTTGCCACATTCAGCGTAGGGAGAGTAAATCTTGGAGTGCGACCTGGCTGCCTCCCAGTCCTGCGGAGCTCTGGAGATGACAGATGGTCATTCCCTACCTGGCAGCAGATTAAATGGCCTTATGTATCCAGTTCCACCTCCTTGGAGTGTTGGGCGTTTTCCTTGTGTGTATCAGTCCCACTGAAAAAATCTGAAGCTTTGCTGCAGTCCTGAAGGCTCAGCTTACTTCAGAAAGGTACTCAGACTTCACTAATACCCTTGGGCCTGCCTTTTTCTGAAGGTGAGGGCTTAGCACAAGGACTGAGTGTTTCCAGGTGCTTGTAACCTGTCCCTGGAGCACGTGGCCTGTGAGGCTCTCTGCTGACCGAGACAAGAAGTAGCCATGGCTCTGTGCTGCTCCATTCATGTTTGTTTGTCTCTCCTAGGTGAGGATGGGATACGATGGCTTGGGAGGCAGAACCAAGTTCATACAGCCTGTATCCTTTCCTGCAGCTTGTGTGGCAGTAGTAATGCTGTGGGGCACCTCCTCTGTTCCTCCTGTCTCAGCCAGCTTGGTAGCCTGGGGCAGAGCTTCCCAAACTGTGGCTGGGACCTTCAGGGAATCACCATCACGTTGCTCTGCATCTGATTCTGAACAAGCCCGAGCTCAGCAGAGACAGCAAAGGCATCAAAGAACTGAGCTTACTAAGAACATTAATATTTATTTTGTCTCTGAAGATTTGTACGATGCCATCGCAGGCAAGGAGAACTCCTTACTAAGATCTCTGCCCCTGGAGTGTCACCATGCCCTGGGAGGCTGCAGGTTCTGCCTACTGTCACTTTGTCTGCCCAGTATCCCAGCTCTGATATGCAGGGTAGATCTTGAAACTCTGTTGGTTGTGCTTTGACATTGCTTTGTGCACTAGGGCATAGCATGGAAGTGGAAAGTGTGGGATAGGAGTGTGCCTGAGATTTGCTTCTGTGGGTAGGGGCAGAGCCCAGCCTGACCTTCAAGGAGCTTTTCTTTGAGTAGTTTAATTTTCCTGGAGGGAGCCTGCAGAGATGGAGTCCAACAGCCCATCTCTTTGGGACAAAACAAAAGTTAAAGCATATTATTAAGGGTGTTACCAAAGTGCCTTAGGGTGTAAGTATGTGGCTGGGTCCCCAGTTCAGAGCTCAGGTTGCTCTGGAGCAGGTCCTGTGCTGCTTATGTCCCCAGAGCCTTGATGTGTGTGCTTCCCTTGACGGCCCTACCTTCAGACAAGCCCTACAGAGTTCCATCCCATAAGAGTGAAGAGCAAGAGGAATGTCTCCAGGCCAGCAGCAGCTGCTGCCCCTGAACGTGCCTGCAGCAGCCGGGCCAGCCTGGATGCTTTCCTGCAGTGAAGGGTTCGTGCCCCTGGGAGCAGCAGGGCTGAGTGTGCTTGCACAGAGCCTGGCCCTGCAGCGAGCCAGCCAGGAGCCCAACCATCTGCCCAGTGCATGGACAGCTTCGTGCCTCCTTTCAGCCCCCCTCTCTCATTTCCACGCAGAAATTTAAATGGGGATTTCTCTTCTGCCAGCCTGCTCACAGCTCTGTAGTTGCTGCTGCTGTTGGTCGCTGGAGGTGGAGCTGCACTGCTGGGATGCAGCCGTGAGCTACAGCTGCAGGAAGAGATCTTGGCTGGCTGCAGCCTGGGGGGCACAAGTGGGAAGAAAGGACCTGGTGCAGTGCTGTAAATAGTGCAGAGATCTTGCTGGGCCCAGGGTGCTGCTGCGGCACAGCTGTACCTGCTGCTGGGCCGCTCCCCATCCCTCTGCCAGGGCTGCAGCACCTGTGCCAAGGTGGGGTGTCCTGGGCCTTGGGCTGGGATGTGGAGCCTGGGCTGGGACAGAGGGTGGTGGTGGTGCCCTCCTGCCCTGCTGAGGAAGAAGCACAGTGCCCTGTGCTGCTGCCCTTTCTCCTTCTGGCCTGTGTTCTGTAACTTCTGTGTGAATTTCTGGTTTTTTTTAATGTGAATGTAGGCATTTTTGTCGTTCTTTCAAAGCCAGCCCAAGGCACGGTGCTGCTAGGTGGCCTCTCTGGGGCTGGAGCTCTCCTCCCCCCACTGTTGAGGCCCCAGTGCGTGGTTCCCATCCCCACCTGCTGGAGGCTGGGGGCCGGGCTGGCTGCAAACCTGTTGAGGGAATAAAAGAATTGCTCTGCATTGGTACTGAGCGGCCTCCCCTGCCTTCCTGCCGGCGGCCGCCTCGGTGGCTGAGGTGCCTGAGCTCTGCTGCTGGCTCCTCTAACGAGGAGGCGGGAGGGGGTGAGGCGCGATGGCGCCAGCAGTCCGTGATGTCACGGGAGGGGGGGGGGGGG